GTATCCAGACTGATGCATCATCTGGGGCGCAATTGCTGCGTCTTTTTCAGTGCTTTACAGTAGGACCGTGATCTCATTCTGTCCCATTATTGGTAGTGTTGGCTTTGATCATTTGTTCAAGGTGGTGAACTGCCAAATTTCTCCACCGTAAAAATATCTTTTTCCCCCTTTGTAATTAATAAGCAACTTCCTGGGAGATACTGTGGGATCTGTGGAATATTCTGTTCCCGAAAACCTTAGATGGGCATTTACTGCTGATTCACGCCTTCATCAGTTATTACTGTGATGTTGCAAAATGATGATTTTTATATCATTCCATGATTATTGGTGATAACTTACTGTTTTGGTGACATTTTCCTTTTCCATTTATCTATCATTATCAGCTGACAAAATTTTTAAATTTAGTATAACATAATCCATTTCTTTCATTATTTATTTTGATAATCAAAGTGTTCCAGTTTGGTGAGTAGAAACCCCTTCAAGTTGACATCTTGTCCTTTGATATTCCCCCATTGATTTTTTTATATGAACATTGATCATATCTATCTATTTCTTTATTTATTGAAGTATAGTCAATTTACAATGTGTATTAATTCCTGGTGTACAGCATAGTGATTCATTTATATTAAGGGGTGTGTGTGTGTGTATATGTATTCCTTGTCATGTTCTGTTTCATTATAGGCTATTAGAAGGTATTGAATATAGTTCCCTGTGCTATACAGTTGTTTATCTACCCCTCCACTGATTTTTGAGCACTTCTTACTTTCTGGCAAAACAAAAAGTTTCTAGGTTCACCTTGTACTGGTTCTTTTTTTTTTTCTTTAAATTTTTTTAAACTTTTTTTGGGGGGGAAATTTTAGGTAGGTAATCATACTTTTTCTATAGCAGCATTGGTTATTTCTTTAAGGATCCCCAATTCCTTATTTTGATGAAATCCAATTTATCATTTATTAATTTTTCTTTTGTGCTGTGTCTAAGAAATCTTTACCTAACACAAATGTTTTCTTTTGAAGTTTCATAGTTTCAAGTTTTACATTTAGGTCAATGATCCACTTTCAATTAATTTTTATATGTGGTATAAAGTATGGATCCACATTCATTTTAAATATGGATATTTTAATTTTTCCACCACCACTATTGAAATGCTCCTTTTTCTGTACTGCATTGCCTTTGTCAAGTGTCAGTTGCCCATGTATGTCTGGATTTATTTCTGGCCTCTCTGTTCTGTTCCATTGATCTGCTTGTCTGTCTTTACACCAGTACCATGCTGTTGAGTCTGTACATTAATATCAAAAGATCTTATGCTGGGAAAACAACAGGGAGGATGTTCTGCAGGGAATTCTTATATCTAACTGTAGAATTGAATTTAATGACAGGCAGAAGAGGTGACAAAGTAGTATGTACTTGTTATATGCTCTGACAATGTAGCTATAATACAATTATTCAAGAACTTTAGGAAGATAGTTTACATAAATCTTTCCTGAGGAAGCTATTAGAGAATAAATTTCAGGCAACCAAGAAATGATTTAATAGGCTGATTGATTGCCTTATAGAAATTCACCAGGGCATCAAAGGATATTGCTTTAAATAGATGCTGGGGGATGTGATCCGGGGATGTTATGGGAAGAAAAGAGCTAATCTCTATATTGCTCATAGTAGGAATCCTTAGGACAAAAACCCAAACCTTTCTAGATACAAAAAGAAATATAGAATGGCAGAAAAAAGAACAAAGGACATAAACACAATGAAATAATTTATATATTCTCTCTGTGACAGAATTGAGACCATATGGGGCATATCATTAAATGGACTTAACTGGCCTGTTAAGAGAAAGAAATATATTCAGATTAACTAACAGAGCAAAAATCCACCTCTGTGCCCTATGCAAAAGATATAACCATAAACTGAAAGCCTTAGAAACATTAAGCATAAGAGGTTAGGTGAAGATTCCAGACAAATCAAATAAAAAGAAAGCAGAGGTCACTATTTGGATGTTGCACAAGATAATAAAACTCAGGCTAGAAATCATTAAAGAGGTAGGACACATTATAAGGCTATAAGTCTTAATGAAGATGTATTATTGGATCCATAGATATTAATGACAACTTTGATTTTTAAAAAAAAATTTCAAGAGTAAGAATTAGAGTATATTCATAAAAGAAGCCTTAAAATCTCAGTTAAAATAGGTCAAGTGGACAAAAATTTTATAAGGTTATTGAAAACCTATATAAGTCAACCAAAATATGGATCTCATGGTTGTGTATTGCATATGAGAGAATGCACTTTTGAAAAATGCATGTGTAACATTGATGAAAAATGATTTTTTGTTGACATATAAAGAAAACTCTAAGATTTACCCCAAAAATAGATACAGCATTTTTAGAGTATAATCAGTTAAAAAATTTTTCAAAAACACCCTTCCACCTGGAATCTAACAAACATACTGCCAAACACCTCTTGGCATAAAGTGAAAATTCAAATAAAATCGATAGATTTCTTGATATGACACATCAGAATCAATATGTTATAGCAGGGGTCAGTAAGTTTTTGGTTTTGTTTTTGTTTTTGTTTTTTAACAGAGAGGTGGATAGGAAATATTTTAAAGTTTGTGGACTATGTGATCTCTCTTGCAGCTTTCAAACTCTTCTGTTTTAATGTGAAATCAGTCATGGACAATATATAAATAGGTTGATCTGGCCGTTCCAGTAAAACTTTATTTATAAAAACAGGTGGCAGACTGGATATGGGTCATGAACTATAGTTGGCCAACATCTGTATTATAGCCAAAGCAATTATCATAAGAAAATTCTTAACATCAGATGTTTACATCAGTGAGAATGAAAATAAGTGAATACTCAAAAAGGCAGAAAGACAACAAAAGAGAAGAATGTAGAAGGAAAGATTTAATACTGTTTAAGATAAGAATGAGTTTTAGAAAACAACAACAAAAAAGTAGAACTAACACATTAAACATGACAGTATGCTCATAATAGTAGAAATACAAAGTAAAACTATAGTGGAATATCATGTTTTCATTTAGTAGAATGTCAAAAAAACCCCAAAAGTTTGGAATTATACTTTCTGAGTGAAACTATGGAGAAAGTAAGACACTCAGCAGTGTTGCCGGTGGGAATGCAAAATGGTAAAACTCCTATGGAATGGAATTTGGCAACATCTAGCAAAATTGGAGATGCATTTCCTTATTGACCCAGCAGTCTTCACTTTTGGGAATAATAATATCCCCAAAATAGAACTGCAAAGGTATAAAATGAGGTGTGTGCAGGGTTGTTGCAGTATTGCTTGCAATAATGGAAAATTGGAGTGACTAGCAGTAGACAACTGGTGGAATATACTGTGGTATGTCACCTTGCAGATATGAAAGAGGAGTGAGGGAAATCTCCATAGGCTGCTATGGAGTGAATTCTGGGATGTATTGTTGAGTAAAAGGTGGCAAGGTACAGAAGAATGTGTAATGCAGACTTTGGAGATGTGGGGTGAAATTATGTGTAAGTGTATTTCTTAGTTCGGTGTGCTAAAATGGCCTAAAAGCAGTAATCTCAGTAACAATAAGAAATAACAGCAGGAGAAAGAGAAAATATGTGCTCATATTTTTAAAAGAAACAAGAAAAAACTAAAAATGGCTACCAGTGGAGGCAAGAGGGGATAGAGAATGGATTAGGGATGAAAATCAGACCGTGTAAATGTAACTTGTACTGCAGTATTGATTTTCAAACAATATAAGTGTGTTATATAATAAATAAAATCTAAAATATCAGCCCCCCTCCCCCCCACAAAACACCCTGAAACAAATTATTATAATCAACTGGCTGGTTTAACTAATGTAGTAAAGGATTTTTCAACTGACTTTAAATTACAACATGAATTGTACATCTCTTGTATGCCACATCCTAAACACAAAAAGAAATTTTATGTTTCATTCGGTGGCTTATTTTTAGCTGTTATAGTTACTTTGAGACTATTTAGATTTCATGTGGCATAAAGCAAATAGATAATTTTGTTAATGTCATCAGGCAAAGGAATTTCCGGGATAATGAAGGAAAGTCCCAGGATGGCAGCTTGCAGCAGGCTTGAGGGATTGGCGCTGGAGGAAGGACTTCAGAGAATACGTCTGAGGAAACAAAAGTAAATTCAAGACTACTTGATATTTTGAACATACTGAAAGAGATTTGTTGGAAAGTTTGGGGCTGATTCAATGATGAATACCTAAAAACTAAGCAAATTAAAATTTGATTTAATGGAAATCTAATAAAAATAAATGTTAAAATGATGTAGAGGGAAAGTTTTAGATGAGGGCTTATCCATCCTCTTCCATTGTACAGCGGGACAAGGGAGTCCTGCTTTTTATAATTGTTTTAAAATACCATAACTTAAAAAGTATTTGGGACATGTGTCAGTAAAATTAAAGAAGAAAGCTGAAAAGTGTTTTGATTAATAGGTATGGGCAAATTAAATTGTTTCAAAAGTAGGAAGTCAGTGGGGAGGATATAGCTCAAGTGGTAGAGTGCATGCTTAACATGCACAGGGTTTGGGGCTCAATCCCCAGTACCCCCTCTAAAAATAAATAAACAAATAAATAAATAAGCCTAATTATCCCCCCAAAAAACTTTAAAAAATAAATTGAAATACAAAAAAGGTAGAAAGTCTCATAAAATCATACCCATGGCAATATTTAGTTAGTAAAACTCAACTTACTTAAATAATATTTCATTTGATTGTGGAAAGTTCATTGTTTATATGCTCTTTTCCTATGTATTCAAAGTATGGGTTTAAAAGTGTTAGGCTAAAAGTTAAAGCTGCTTCTTTGACTTTTTAAAACCACCCTCTCAGACAGATTCTGCCATGTTTCCTTTCTGTATCTGTCAGAAATCTGCTCTCTTCATTTTATCCTCTCAGTTCAGGCCTACTCTATTTCTTAGTTTCATTTCAGCTACTTCTTTCTGATTTTTGTGTTCTTCCTGCTTTTTCAGTTTTATTGTGAATAGGTTTTTCTCCCCTATCTCTAGAACTTAGGACCTTTAAACTTTTTTAAATTGTGAGGAAAACACATGTGCAGTTAACAGTTTAAGTGAACACTCATGTAACCACCATGTCAAGAAATCAACATTGCCAGTACCCTAGAAGTTCCTTATGTGTCCTTTTATCATCACCCCTTCCCATCCCATAGACAAGGATCCATTTTCTTGTTAATCACTTTCATCATTTGCTTTATGGTAGATATCATTTAGCTTTGCCTGTTTGGGGACTTTGTGTAAAAGGAACAATATTGGTTTATTTTATTTCATTTCTTGCTATTTTCATGTAAGATTGAAGGGGTCATACATGTTACTGCATGTAGCTATAGTTTCATTCATTTTTAATGCTGTTTAATAGTACATTGTACAAATATATCACAATTTTCTCATTATTGCTGGGCATTTGAAATGTTGCTCATCTTGGACTTTTTAAAGCAGTGCAGCTATTAACATTTTTGTTAATGTTTCCTTCTGTTGATGTGTAGGGGTCCAGAGTTTTTTTAACTGAAAAGTAGAATTCTTGGTCATAGAGTATGCAAATATTCAACTTAACTTTTACCAACTGTTGTATACCCACCAGCAGCTCACCTGTGTTCCTGTTGGCCAAGATGTGGATGCTCTGACCATCATTTGGTGTTATCCTTTTTAGTGGTTTGTTTGTTTGTTTGGTTGGTTTTTTTTGCAGTCTGGTGTTACTTGTTAATCTCTTTGGGTCTGATATGCTTTTCCTAGGCACCAGTTAGGTTGAGCATCTTTCATATATATATTGACTGGTTTCAGCTATTGTGAAGTGCTTGTTCAAGTCTCTTTCCCGTCTTTATATTGAGTTATTTATTTTAATTTTATTATCTTAATTTTACTTAATTTTATTAGTTTAATTTTAATAGTTCTTTAACATTCCGGATACCTTCTCCCATTCTGTTTGTCTTACCTTTTTATAGGGCCTTTTAACCGAACTTAACAAATGTTCCTTTGTGGTTGTTAGTGCTTTAGTTTTAAGAATCTTTCCACACCCCAAAAGCAGTGAAATTATTTTCCTATGTTTTCTTTTAAAAGTTCTGTAGTCTTGCTCTTCACATTTAGGTTTCTGTTTCAACTGCAGTTGATTTTTATATATGGCAAGAGATTGGAGTCTAGTTTCATTTTTTTACCAGATGCCCCAGCACCATTACTGAAAATACCATTCTTTCCTCAATACACTGCTGTCCCTATCAGTTATTAGGTATTTATATATACATGAGTCTGTTTCTCATTATTTGATCTCTGTTTCTCAGCCAGTTCTGATCTGTTGGTCCATTTATCACTCCCCAAACCAATACCACACTTTCTGAATCTTCACTGTAGGTTTTGATAGCTGGTAAAACAAATCCTTGTGTAAACCCCCACCACCATCAGTGTTATTCTTCAGAAACATCTTTTCACTATTTTTTATCAGTTTGAATTATCATATAAATTTTAGAATCAAGTTTCAGATTCCACAAAAGCCTAATAAGATAGTGATTATGGAAAATAATTTGGGGAGAATTTGCTCGTAATGTTGAATTTTCTAATCCACAGCTCTCATTATGTTTTCTTTAGTGACTCATTAAACATTTATAATTGTTCCCGTTGGGATTTTGCACATATTCTCTTAGGATGTTTTGTAGATATTTGATAGTTTTTGATGCTGTTGTAAATGGTGTCCTATTTTAACTTCATTGTTACGTTTTTGTTCCTGGTAAATGTAAATAGAAATATGTTTTAAATATTTGTTTCTTTTCAGTAACTTTGTTGAATCTTACTAATTTTAGTAATTCTTCTGTAACTTTGTTTGACTTTTCTACACATATAGTCATATCATCTACTTATAAACATATCATCTGAATAACAACACTTTTTATTTCATTATTTCCAATCCTTAAGCCTTTTCTTTTACTTGCTTTAGTTTGCTGCCTAAAATCTCCAGTACACTATTGAATTAAAGTGGTACCAATGATACCGTTCTCTTGTTCCTTGATCTCACAGAGAAAGTTTTCAACATTATACTATTAAATATGAGGTTTGCTGTAGAGTTTTTATAGATATCTTTTATAAGGTTAGAGGAGTTATTTTAACATATTAAACGTAAAACATTGTTAGCCTATTCATTGATGAAGGAGAAACTCCTACCCTAGGATCATAAGAACGGCTCAACACATAACACCTAAAACTGACAAGTGAGGTGGACAGCAATGTATTATGCGCTCAGCCTTGGGGAGGAGGACACTGCATGCCATGCAGGGCCACACAGGGTTTTGCAGTTGGGGCAGAGTGAACAACTAGTACTGTGGGAGGCAGGCTTTGTATGTACTATTAGGAATGTGGGGTGCCCCCAGGTTCCCACAGGAGTTTGTGATTGGCTTGTTTGAATTTTTCTGTAACCTGGCATGGAACTGAAACTCATTATTCAAAGATGAGCAGAAGAAACTGCCTGATCCCTTTGATGAAGGAGGGATGGTTTGTTAGGGAATCTGATCTGTTGGAGAAGAGTGGGAAGGGAAACTTGGGTTAGGCTGTTTGAGGCACTCTCAATTTTGCCGGAATCAAGGCAGCACAGTATATTAAGCCTTTATTTTAGGCCTTACAGCACTCTGTTTATTCTTAATATCCACAAAAGGATTTTGAGTTTTTAAAAATTGTGAACAATAATTTTTTAAAAAATCAAATACCTTTTCTGTGTCTGGTAAGAGGATAATTTTTTTCCCTTATTCTGTTTGTGGTGAATTCTAACAATAAATTTTCTAATTAAAAAATCTTGCATTCCCAGGCAGGAGTCTACTTAGTGATGGTATATTATACTTTTTACACATTGCAGAATTTGGTTTGCTAATATGTTAAGATTTTTGCTTCTGTGTTTGAGATAGATGGCCTGTGATTTTCCTTTTTTATATTACTTTAATGAATTTTCCTGTAGAGTTATGTGCACTTCACAAAATGAATTACACAATGCTAACTTTTTCAGTTCTCTGAAAGAATTTGTGTAAGATTGGAATTAAAGTTTTTCTTTCTTGAACATATGGGCTTTTCTTTTTGTGGGAAGATTTTTGACCCCTGACTCAACTTTCTTAAAGATTTACCTCTAAGATTCTCTAGGTTTCTTTTTCACTTGAGAGACTATGGTAGATATTTCACTTTTTGCTACACATTTGTACATTTTATATAAAGTTTCAACTTTATTGATGCAAGTTGTTCATAATAACCTCTTACTAATTCTTCAGATGTGTTTCATCTCAAGTTATATCCTTTTTCATTCTGGTTACTGGTTTTATAGGTGTGCACTCACTCACTTGTGCCCCCTCTCTCCCTCCCTCCCTCCCTCCCCACCAGAGCCCTTCAGTTTTATTAGTTTCTTTGAAGAATTGTATGGCTTTTGTTCCATTTTACTGATTTCTTCCTAGTTTCTTTGGGTTTATTTTACTATGCCTTACCAACTTTTTGAATACTTTAAAACAATGTGTTAAAATATACATAACATAAAATTTATTATTTTAATTTTTAAGTGTGTAATTCCATAGCATTAAGTACATTCACAGTGATTTGTAACTATAACTACTATTTCCTGAACTTACCATAAACAGAAATTTTTTATACAGTAAGCAATAACTCATCAGTTCCCTTTCCCCAGACCTTGGTACCTGTATTCCACTTTTCTGTCCTTTTGAACTTATCTATTCTAGATACCTCATGTGAGTGGAAGTATATAATATTTGTCCTTTTTTGGTCTGGCTTGTTTTATTTAGTGTAATATTTTGAAGGTTTATCATGTTGTAACATGTATCATAATTTCATTCCTTTTTAATGGCTAAATAATATTCCATTTGGTGGATAATAGTGTATTTTGTTTATTCACCTGTTGATGGACACTTGTTTTCACCTTTTGGTTATTGTGGATAACAGTGCTGTGAACATTAGTGTACAAGTACAGGCAGACCTTGGAGATATTGCTGGTTTAGTTTTAGACCACTGCAATAAAGTGAGTATTACAATAGAACAAGTCACATGTATTTTTTGGTTTTCCAGTGTATATAAAAGTTATGTTTACAGAAGTGAAATCTGATACTCTTTCTAGTATAGTTCTTGACTTTTGAACCATGTAAATGTTTTACATATTCAAAAATAATTTTATACCAAAATTAAAAATAAACTCTAAAACTAAAAATAAATGAACTAGTAAACCTAAAAGGTATATCAAATTGGCAACATAACAGCATATTGTTGGATTTTAATATCTAGTGTGACAGTTTGTCTTTCAGCTAGTGCAAAGATTTAAAGATACTTCTTCTGGGTGCAGAGTTCTGGCTAGACTGTTCTTTTTTATCGCTTGGAAGATGTCTTTCTGTTATCTTCTGATTTCCATTGTTGCTGATGAGAGTAGGCTATCAGTCTTTGATGATAATTTAATCTTTTTTTTTTTTTTTGCTTTTAATATTTTTCTTTGTCTTTGGTTTCTGCAGTTTTAGTATGATAGATGTAGACATAGTTTCTTTTTAATCGAGATTCATTTATTCTGAAAAATTTATAGGATTTATCACTTAACTTCTACAGAGTTCTTACCCATAACATTTTCTCTCAATCCATCCTTTTCAGGTATTGATTAAATAGTTGTATATATTTTATATGAATGTTCTATAAATATATGTCTATTTCTGGATTCTATATTCTGTTTCATTGTATTTCTGTCCTTACACGAATACCACACCCTGTCTTGATTTCTATAATTCTGTAGTAAGTCTTGAAATCAGATAGCTTAAGTCCTCCAAATTTGTTATTTTTCAAGTTGTTTTTGCTTTTTTTGATCCTCGCATTTTCATATAAATTTTAGAATCAGTTTGTCAGTTATTACAAAAAGCCACTGGGATTTTAATTGGGATTGCACTGAATCTTTTAGCTCAATTTGGGAAGAAGAAACATCCTAATCACATTGAGTGTTTCAATCCGAAGACATGTTTAATATCTCCTTTCTTTAGGTGACCTTTAATTTTTCTTTTGTAGTTTTCAGTGTATAGATCTTGCACATATTTTGTTAAAAGTATCTGTAAGTATTTGTGACGTGTGTGTGTGTGTGTGTGGCTACCTTACAGTTTTTTACATACATGGTTATGTTACCTGTGAATATAAACAATTCTAATTCTTATTTTCCAACCTGTTTCTTTTATTTCTTTATCTAAAGAAACTGAAACTGCCTGGAATAAAAGTTGTGAGAGTGGACACTGTTGCTTTCTTCCAAATCACACCAGAAAGCATTCAGTATTTCATCAATAATAGTGTTAGGTGTAGGATTTTGTTACACAGTCCTTATCAGGTTGAGGAAGTTTCCTTCTATTCCTAGGTTGCTGAGTTTTTTTTTTAATCTTGCATAGTTATGGAATTTTTCAAGAATGATCATACGGTTTTTCTCCTTTATTTTGAATATTGTGAATTACTTTAATTGATTTGAATGCTCAACCAGCTTTTCTTTAATAAACTCTACTTAAATTACCCTTTTTACGTATTTCTGCATTTGATTTTCTGATATTTTGTTAATGAGATATTGATCTGTACTTTTTTTCCCTTGATTTTAGTATGAGAGGAACATTGGCCTTATAAAATGAGATGGGAAGTGTTCCTTCTCTACTTTGTAAAAGAATTGTGTAGAGTTAGTATTGTCTTTAAATGTTTGACAGAGTTCACTGGTGGAGCCTTCTAGGTCTAGACTTTTCTCTGTGGGAAAGTTTTTTTTTAAGTACAAATTAAATTTCTTTAATAGATAAAGAGCTATTTAGCTATTTCTTGAGAAGATTTTGGTAATTGTGTCTTTTAAAGAATCAACACATTTAATCAAGTTGATAATATTCCCACACTTTTTTAAAGTCCATGGAATCTGTAGAAATGGCCTCTTTCATTTTTGATTTTGGTCATTTTTTCTAGCTAGAGATTTATTAATTTTATCCCACCCACAAAAACTGGGTTTGGGTTCATTGATTTTTTTTTTTCTTTATTCCCATTTTCTTACTTTCTTCATTGTTTTCTGCTCCTTATTATTTTCTTCATTTTCCTTTTTGGTTTTGTGTGTGTGTGGCATTAATTTGCTCTTTTTCTAGCTTGTTGGGTGGAAGCTTAGATCACTGAGTTTTAGATCTTTCTTCGTTAACACGTGGGTAATATTTGGAAGTAAGTTGTTCAACTTCCAGATATTTGAGGGTTTTCCAGTTCCCTCTGTTACTCATTTCTAAGTTTATCTTATTGTACTCATGGAACGTATTTTGTGTGTTTTTAGTTCCTTTAATCTATCCATAGTGTTTTATTGCCCAGCATATGTTATATCTTGGTAAATATTCCATCCACACGTTAAGTATATGTATTCTGCTAACATTGGGTAGTCTTTAAACAACAATTGGATCAAGTTATTTGATTCTTTTGTTCAAGTTTTTAATATATTTACTGATTTTCTACTGCTCTATTGATTACTGAGAGGAGAGTTGAAATCTCCAACTATCATGCGGATTTATGTGTTTCTCTTTACAGCTGTATCAGTTTTTACATGATGTATTCTGATACTCTGTTAATGAGGTATATGTGCATTTAGGATTATATGTCTTTGTGAGGAAGTAAGCTCTTTATCATTATACGCTGTCCCCACTTTGTATCTGGTAATAGTTCTAGTTCTGTAGTCTACTCTTTCCAGTATTATAAAATCCCCCAGGTTTCATATGCTTATCATTTGAATGTATGTCTATTTCTATTCTTTTATTTTTTCCCCTGTGTGTGTATTTAATTTTTTTTGTAGGTAGCATTTAATTGGGTCTTTTGTTGTATACAGACATGCTTAAGTAGCAAGCCATCAATGATATTGACAGGACCATGGACAGAGCACTTTTTGTATTATATAGATCCTCTCCTTTTTCTCCTATGGATGTTGAAATATAGTTGCCTGGCTGGTGGTGATCCATCTCATGGTCCTATCCTTCAACTTACTTGTGTCTGTGATCCATAGTGTGTAATAAGAGGCTTTAAATCCACATACATCTCTTTTATGGAGACGAGCAAAGAGTTGCCAGCCATTTCTTGTACTTAATGTCAAAGCATAAGCCCTGCATTGTGCTTAGGTTTAGACACTAAAGCTTCACAAAAAGGAAATAGTGGATCATATTTACATCTCAAAATCCAAAAACTATAAACATTTAATTTGTAGGAGAACTCAGCTACTAATATAAGTATGTAATTTATGATCTATCATTAATCTCTTATATCAGTCATGTTTTTATGATCTTATAATTATCTAAACCTCTTTCATGATTTCATTTAGCAAACACAGAACTTACATATGACTTCAGCTGTCCTTTTCCTTCAAAATACAGATAAATATAATATCCAAAGTGTTAGTTGTTTCAACTTGATTAATACATAGGTGATTTCCTTGTTTGTTCCCAGTACATATTCTGTATTCTTACCTTCTGGTATCAGCAAAGAGAAGCATTTGTATTGCTCCATTTACTTTACTGTTTCTTTTGAATTAAAGTTGACTCTCTGCTAGCCTTTCAGATTTCAAATTTTCCTTTTCCAAAATGGGAGTTGAATTATGTTTCTGCAGTATTCTCACCCTTTCCAGGATAGCATGTCAAAAGAATTGCTTTCTTCATATAGGCATTCAGATAGTTACTGTATTATATGCAGAGCCTGGTTTTTCTTATAATGGCAAGGTACATCTTGAGCTTGGGAATGAAGTATAGGTAAAGATGCAAATTTTAAATTCACCAACATTTAGTCTCATTGTTCCACTTTAGGTTGAGGTACCCCTATGACTCAGAATACTTTTGTAGTCTTAGTAGATCATTTGAGGCATGAGGTAGGTGAGATAGTGCTGATCCTTAAGAAGGAGTCAACTGTTACCTGATTTTAATTGGGGGCACAGAGTATAGCACAGGTTTACCAGCTACCACCCCAACATCATTAAGCCCTTTTACACATTTGTTAATATAATCGTTACAACAGTTCTGCCTCAGATTTCTAATGAGCATGGAATATTTAGCACAATAACTGGAGCATAACAAGTTCTCAATATGGTAATCATTATCATCATGACTAGAAGAGGAAACAGAGGGTCATAAAGATTGTTTAGGTGTTATAGAGCAGTCAATAAAGAGGAATAATCTAGATCTATATAGCTTTAAAGTCCATGCTATATGTTTTTATTTAAATACTTTCCATGTAGAATGTATACAAGATGTGTCATTAGGCGGGATTCAGAATTGCTACTTAATAGTTGTATGACCACGGGTAAGTCATGGTGCTCAGTTTCCTGATCTGTAAAGTGGGGATAATATTTAATGCACACTGGGACAGGGGAGGTTACTGGTAAATATTGATAAAAGTCCTGACTTTCCACCAGGCCTTCAGCATGGTGGCAGAGGAGTTCCTCATTACTGTCCTGGAGTTACAAGTTCAGGTTCCTCGTATGGTCTCCACTGACACTGCCTTGGGCCTCATTACCACCCAGTGAGGATCAAAGCCCTAGCTCCCCACCAGGCTTCTCTGACACATCCAGCAGGGGGTGGTTGGGACACCTGGTTTCTGCTTAGCCAGGGTGGAAGTCTAGGTGGGAGAGGAAACATGTTTTTTCTGTGGTGTTTGCCTGGAGTAGAGTTCTCTGTCTTGCCATGCTGCCCTTTTCCTGGTCCTTTGGGATAGAAGGAGCTGGCTTTTCTGGGCTCTTTTGTTTACACTTGTTGGTGTTTGAGTTGGCAGCTTCCATCTCAGTGACCTCACCATTATCATTCCTTGGGTCCTGAGGTTTCTAGACAGTCTACTGCCTCCTACCTTTCCCAGTTTTATATAGAATGTCTAGAGGCTTTAGCTCTACTTTTCCTGAATAAGAAAAAATGTGTTTACTCAGGCTTTCTCTGTGAAATGCATTGTCACATCTTTACAGATTTTAATTAGTGATTTCTTGTTGGTACTATGTCTTAGGTATATCTTTCCGCCAGTTGGGGGCTTGTCTTCTCACTTTCTTCATGGTAATCTTTTGACCAGCTTTAGTTCTTAACTTTAATGAAGTTGAACTCATAGACCTTTCCCTTACGCTCTTGTATTTTGTTTCTTGATTAAAAAATTTA